AGATCAATGATATAAACCAGAATGTAACAGTGACTGCCACAGGCACAGGAGAAGCACAACACTGACAGTAAGTTACTGGCAGAACTCAGCTGCCAGGCTTTTAACCAGAACAAAGAAATATGACCACATTACTCCTATTTTAGCTTCATTACACTGGCTCCAGTATGTTTAGAATTGACTTTAAAATTCTATATTTCTTTAAAGCTCTTCATGGCCCTCGCCTGTTATATTTCTGAGCTTTAGTCCCATACCACCAGCACGTACCTTGAGATCCTCGGGCAGAGGTCTGTTGTCTGTTCCAGAGTCTCGACTGAAAACTAAAGGGGACAGAGCGTTTGCTGTCAGGGCCGAGGCTCTGGAACAGCCTGCCCGAGGAATCAGGGCTGAGTCAGTGAACTCTTTTAAGTCCCTTCTTAAAACATACTTTTGTAGGAGAGCCTTCCCGATCTTATTCACTTTTATTTTATTGTATTTTACTAATTTTATATTTATCTTAAACGGTATTTTAGTCTTTTCAATGTTTTAATGCTTTTATCTTGTATTGTTTTGTATTGTCTTTTGGGTATTATTGTCTTTACACTTGTTAAAGCACTTTGTAATTGTTTTTGAGAAGTGCTCTACAAATAAAGATTATTATTATTATTATTATAAATTAAATATATTTTTACTTCATAATCTTTTGTTTTTTGTAGTTGTATTTTTTGTACCTTGAGTGGACTATTGAGATAGACGCCTATTTACCTATTTCACATTATCGTGCACTTTTAACTATGTGACAGATGGTGTCGCTGTATTATGCTCTGCCTAAAGAAAAGGAGAGTGACTGTCAGAAGTTTAACATGACAGTGCAGCTCCTGCCAGGTACTTTTGTTTCGTTATTTGCTGTTGACCATCTTCCTTCCAAATATATTCCTTTTTATGAGAAAAACAAATAAACTAAAACAACAAAAAATTGTTTTGTTCCTCTAGAGAAACTGGACGAGGATGAGAAGATATACAAACTGAGAATAGAGGTTTTGTAAGTACAATTAAGAGCATTACATTAATATGGCTTTTACAGAACATTTTCTTACCAGATATGGGCCCTTCATTACTTCACTTCTTCCCCTTTCTGTTATGGTCATCATTTTAATTTGTTCTGTCCTCTTTGTCCCTGATTTTCTCAGCATTTCACATTTCTTTAAAATCAAAATATGGTGGTGAAAACTTATACAACATTTTTTTGAATGAGCTTTAACACCTGTTTTGCTCATTGAGCAGCCCCTTCCCACAGGTTTAAATTGTATTTAAAACATCTAAAATTTAAACAAGTAATTTAAGTTTAAGATTTTGGGGGATATTGGAAAATAAGAATTGTTTTGATTACCACAGAGTGCGCTTATATCTACAGAGAGTGGTCCTTCCATGGTGGTGATGCCTGGGTCATCATCCACCTAAGTGTTTATTTTACTGTTATATTATTATTTATTTACTTTAACGATGAGAGATGCTGCTGTAAGTAATTTTAAGTTTCCACGCACACAGCAAGGTCACAACAAATATCATGGGATATTTGGCAACAAAACTAAAAACTGTAGTGAGTGAACGTGACAGGGCAGAGGACTTTTTAGGATTAATCAGGGTGGCTGTTTTACTGCAAACAGATTCCCTGTATGACCCTGGGTTGTGTGTGTGACCATTTGGATGTGTAGAAAAACACAGAATATTAATTAACTTGAGACCCTGATCAGGAGATTTAAATAATCAATGAAGTTAAGCTGTGTTGCAAATGGAAAGACGCTTCACCCTATTTCACCCACCCGCACCTCATCCGCTGTTAATCAGAATGTTCATTTTATGACCCGGCCCACCCTATCCGTGGATTATAGCACCCTGGTTCTACAATAGCCATGAACAGACAAACCAAATACTGGCTCTAGAGAGGGCATTTAGCGGCTACTATTACTCAAACTGGACCAGGTACTCACCGGTACCGGCACTTCTACAAGACAGAGTTGGGAGAAGCTCGGGTGCCATTTATGCAGCTGTGTGCATAAGTTGCTTGTCAAAGTCACTTTTCTTGAACCTACCTATCACAGCCTGATTGGGGCTTATTGACAAGTTAGTACTTGGTTTTATTTCTGAAACAGTTCACTTAGCTCAGCTAATAAGCTGTTCTAAATCTTACAAAAACTCTATAAGCTACTTCAACCACTGGCCGCTACCGTAGGTTCCTAAACGCTTTGAATGGGAGGGTGAGGGAAAAGGTTATCAGTTGGTTGCTGCTAGATGCTTGCTAGATGATTTGATGAATAGATTTACTTTCTTTCTTTCTTTACATTTCTATATGCTTTTATTTAAATATTCTGTCCTTTCATGTACAGGTATAAGGACAAGGTGCGAGATGCAACCATGTCAATCTTGGATATTGGCTTGCTAACTGGCTTTACTGCTAACACAAATGACCTGGACTAGTAAGACCCTTTACAGATACACACATACCCACATAAAGGTCAACAGTCAGATGTTATGCTTAGGACAAACATGTTTTATGGTTTAGAAATTGTCTGACTGTGTGTGTGTATGTGTGTAGCTGTCCAAAGGACATGCCCGCACCATTGCAAAATATGAGATGAACACAGTCCTGTCAGAAAGAGGCTCACTCATCATCTACCTGGACAAGGTAAGTCTCATACCTACTGTATATATTTTTTCTCTCTGCCTTAGCCTTTCTATCTTAACCTCTGTCTCACCTTTGCTTTACATCTCTCCACAGGTTTCTCACACACGACCAGAGGAGATCAGTTTTAGGGTCCATCAGAAGATGAAAGTGGGCGTCTTACAACCAGCAGCTGTCTCTGTCTATGAATACTATGAACGTGAGTCTCAAGAGACATTTAGAAACATGCTGCTCCATGAGCTTCATTATTTTGTCTTTGCTGTCAATATTTGTCAGAGTAGATAACATGGTGGAAAAGCAGACATTATTACATTTTTTTTATGTTTTTCGATGTAGGTTACTGCAATTAGCACAAAATATATCTGTCTTTCCTGTTTCAGGAAAACACTGTGTGAAATTCTACCACCCAGAGAGAAAGCTGGGAAGCTACTGCGGCTCTGTAGAGGTGATGAATGCACATGTGCTGAAGGTAAGAAAGTTGAACTGAAGACCTAATCTGTGAACTCTAAACTATCTACAACAATAAAGCTGGGGCACCTAAGGCGGAGAGAAGATTAAACAAGATAAAGAGGCCATGCTACTAGCTCTGACAGGGTGTAACGATCATAAACTATATAAAAGAAGTGGATGAGTTTGGCACTTTGGCCCTTTCCATCTTGTTTTTTTGGAACCATAAGTGACCGTATTTGCATGGGAGAGTGGAGCTGAGGAGGAGTGAGGGGTGATGTAGCCATGAATTTGATACTTTCCAAACTGAATTTGCTGGTGAATGTACATTTATTCCATCTTACTAAGTTATTAGCTAGCGTAGGGCTGGATGGTTTATTCGAAAAGTAACTGAAACCGAAATTCACAGCCTCAAACCAACATAATTTTCCTGTCAGTAATTTTGGTGTTTTGGTGTTTAATCCTATTAATATTTCCCCCACTATGTGTGTTCATGTACTTTCCACTTAAAAACATACTACCATGTGTGTAGTCACGTGACTCCGCATGACTGATATTTGCGCCACAGTAAGTTAAGATTGGCGGTATGGCTCTGTTCTGGCCCTTCAATGTGCCTACATGGAAAACCATAATGCAGGGAGCAGCAGTTAGGACCCCATAGGGCAGGGGTATTCAATTAGAATTCAAAGAGGTCCAGTTAGAGAAAATTTCCCGAACCAAAGGTCCGGAACATCAAAACGACTAACTTGCATTATCATTCAATACCATAAAGAACAGTTGTATCAACATATGTTTTTAGTTAACAATGGACTGTCAAATCAAATAATATTTCAAGAATATTCACTGTCAGTTTTCACATCAAACTGGAGGGATAATAAATAACTAATAAATAATTCTAAATTTAAGTAAACTAAAGTAAAGAGCCTTACTTTTTAGAAAAAATGACATAAACACAACACATCTTAACAAATGAAGAGCTGTAATGCCTCCTCTTCTCTTTCATTCCCTCTTATAGAGCTACCAATTTCCTACTTTCTCTTGTTCAGTGAGAAATGTGAGCTCTAGCTTGTCCTGCCAGCTAGCATTGGAGATCTATGAGATAATCTGGTTTTGAACTGCCCGTGGGAGGAATGTACATTCTTGATTAAAAGCCATGTGAAATCTCTTTTCCCTTTCGTCTCCTCAATTCGTGTGTGTTTCCAAAACGTCTCTGGTGAATCTCGCGGACTCGACTCGCAACCATCGGAATGCACAGATTTAATTGGCTGAGCAGCGTCACATGAGACGATTGGAGCATAATGCTATTGGTCTGTGAGTTTCTTGGTCCTCTAAACCAGTACAGTAAATGCTAGAAAAGCTGCGCGGGTTAAATAGAAACGCTCTGTCACGAGGTAGTAAGTCTCAATAATAAATCGGCTGTATGTCAGTGGTCCAGAGAGGACAGCTGCTGGGTCTGCGGTCCGCCTATTAGTGACCTCTGCCATAGGGTACAGAACATAGCAGGCATTAATACAGAGTGACATGATTAATCAAATATGGCCTGAAAGGAGGAGCTGGGTTGGCGGCGAGTTACAAGCTAATTGCAGAGGAAGCAGCAAAAGCAGGCAGGGTATAGCAGCCTAAATAAGGCCCCTTGTATGGAATTTGCCAATGAATGCTAAGAGGAATCAGAGCTGTCAGCTGATGTGGCTGGCTTTAAGATGGCTGCTATCAGCTGATGTGCTGGGATTGTGAGCTGAGCTTGACTTTGTTGCCTGCCTGAACTAACACTATGCTTGATTTTGATTTTAGATCATATAGTCCTAAGTTAGCTCTAACTAGCTAGCTTTGATGATATGACACTTTGATCTCTTGTCTCTCAGTTGACTGTTAACACGAATTTCACTAGCAAGGACCACACAATCAACAGGTACAATTAAATGATTTATTGATGATCAAAACAGAAAGATGTACGAGACATGCAGTTGCTGAATAGACATTCGAAAGTGTTGTGGGGAAGCTGCGATAGGGAAATCCGCCGTAGCACCCGGGCACAACGGACCCCCTTATAACCCTATGGAGAGGAAGAAGAAGATCAGGAGGCAGGACAGAGAAAGGGGGGGGGGGGGGGGGGTGATGCAGAATATGAGAGCGAAGAAGAGGAGCTACGACGTGTGGATATTTATGGAAATGCTGGCGATGACGTGGTTGATGTGTGGTCCCGCTCCTGAAACTCTGGATGGAGTAAACTGATGCCTCTGGCATCTTCCACTGATAACCATATATCAACTCCCTTTGACTCTGTTTAACAAACTGTGATGCCATCTCAGAAATTCTGGCCACCACAACCCCATGGGGAGTGGAAGTCAGAATTATGCCCAACAAACACATCAAATCTCGAGCGAGGAGATTCACGGGCAATGGTCCGATAGCAAAAATGAATGTTTGAAATGGTTTTCAATCTCCTCACTGCATGTTAAAGGTGCTGTGAATCTCTCATAGGTTTCCCTGAAACTCCTACTGTTCTGAGACATCTAGCACTCATTTTTGGAGGAGTCTGGAATTCTTGACTTCTAATGAGCGATTCTGTGGCTCCTGAGTCAACTAGAAATCTGATTGTATATTCAGGCATGAATATGATATATGATGATATGCGTCATTCTTGTATTTAGCATATATCCCTGTTGATTTTACTTTATCAGTTTCCTGTCTCTGTTCAAGATACAAAATAGCCTCACTGATCAAAGTCTGCATGTCTGCTTCAGTTTTAACCTGTGTGTGTGTGTGCGTGTGTGTGTGTGTGTGTGTGGTGTGTGTGTGTGTGTGTGTGTGTGCGCACGTTGAGAGACAAGAGATCATCTACAGGTGATCATGTTGCCATGTCAAACAGTGGCGTTTCACCATGTTGGTGATCTCTGGCCTCAGTCTCTGCGAGAAAATTGTTTCTGAGAATGGCTTCCCACGGGGTGATGGGATGTGATGGTCCCATCACCTCTGGCTTCAACAGACCCTTGTGGATTTCATGAAGTTCAGCGAGTCTGTTCAGGAAGTCTGTCACTGTCCTATTAATAGTGCCCAGTCCAGCTTCCGGGGAAATAGTTCCTCTATTTTCTTGCAGAGATTGTTAACTACCAGTCTGTAGGTTGCGTTCTCTGGGTCGTCCCAGGACAATTTTGACAATCTAATGTCCCCTGCGGGATAACCTGCTGACACCCGTGTCCAGGTTGTCCCCATCTGAAGGGTCAACAGTTGTCTCAGTTCAGCGGTTGTAAGTCTGAATTGTTGGCAAAAGATCAGCAGATGTTCAGCATATTTTACTCCACCGTCCTGGACACGAGGAAGCTGCTGTGATGCTTCCTTCATCTCGCTGTATAGCCATGGTCTGTATATATTATATATAATATTGGGAGCATTCATTATTGAAGGGTCTTGTTCCTTCTTACCGTTATTTGAACCCATTTTCCGTCAGTTGTTTAAATAACCCTTAATTCCAAGAACGTAATAAAGAATTTGTTTGGGTATGGACAGAGTGGACCCATATGCAGCACTCAAGATTAACTGGCTTTATTAGGGGGAAAAAGGGTTAAGGGACTGGAGTTGAGGAAGAGGTGGGCGCCGAGGAAACACAGGCACGGGGAACCGAGGAGACTGAGACCAGAGAGCCGAGGGACCATGGGAGCCGAGGAAGAGAGGAGGCACGGGAGAACTGGTGGAGGAGTGTGGTGGCAGGCTGACTGGGGAGGCACGAGGGAGAGCCGGGAGCATACCGTGGGGGAAGTCCGAGGGGAGAGGGCAGGTGAGCGATGGCAGGTGTGGCAGGCAGAGGAGGTAGCTGACGAGATGCAGGTGCGGGTCATTGGCTGGGCTCATGAGCGGAGGGAGAGAGAGAGCACACGCAGGGGAGGAGACACAGGGAGGCAGGCAGAGTACAGGAAAAAAACAGGGGAAAACAGAATCACAAGCAAAAAAAGGAGAAATAAACAGGACACTCACCGTCAGCCGGGCTGCCATCACAACAGAATTAACCTTTTAGGGGTTTTCTTTTAAATTCAGAATTAGGTATCTCTTTTTGTTTTAAATTTGGGAGGTCTGTTTAAATCTTTTGTTATAAGGACCTTGAAGCCGTCTGCTTGGGAAAAGATTGTTCACAGATCTATATTTCTCTAAACTCTTATGTGTTTCTATTAAATGTTAACAAAGCTAGTAGTCTGAGGAAATCTTATCCTGTTTACACAAAGCCTTTGTTCAACATTAAGACGTTCTGTTAGTTGTTTTTTTTTCCAGTCGCAATTTATTCATACAAGGCTGTATTTTTTTTTTTTCATTCACAATTCAGTCATTCATCTGCAGCAAACACATTCAAATTTGCTCAGTTATACACCCTTCTATTCCATA